TGAATAATAACCAAAAATTTACTGTGAAAACAAGCCATGAGCTTCTTAAGACAAAGAAATAGAATATTCTTAGATGGCTCAGTCAATCACCTGATTTTGACCCAATTGAGCACCCTCTTCACTTACCGAAGACAAAATTGGATTTCTGTAATTTTTTTCTGTGTGGAGCTTGCATGTTTTCCATTGTCAGTGTGGGTTTTCTTCCACAGTCCAAAGAAATGAATGATAAGTGTGTGTGTGTGTCACTGTCCAAATACATATGGACGTGACTGTAACAGTACGAAAATATAATTTATTTACTTTGCTTATGGGTTAATTTTTCAAAGACGTCACACAAAGCAAAGTAGTGTAGTATTAATCAAAAGTATAATGCAAGGAAAGCAGGCTGACAAATGTGGCTAAAATAAGAAAGGTTATAAAAAAGGTGTTTTGGCTTTTAAGGAAGGGACAACATTTGACTACATTTGATGGTCTGCTGCTCACTAGACTGAAGAGAGTGTTATCAGTGTAGCAATGACAGCTGATGCCATGCTTGTGTATAACTGCAATTGGTGGAAGCCTAAAAAATGAGAACAACAGTGGTCCCACAACAGATCCTTGCGGGACACCATACTTTTCCTTTGTACAAGCGGAACAAACAAATCTGCAAATCTGCATTTGTAACTGTCATTTGGATAGGCTGTTAACCAGGTGCATGCTTTCCTACGATTCTAATAAGATTTTCTACCCTCTTCTTTAAGGTGGCGGTAGTGTCACAACTTGGGCTTGCATGGCTGCTTTTGGGATGGGCCCACTAATCTTTCTTGATGATGTTTGTTATAAAGCTAGTAGCAGAAAGATCTAAAGACCTAAAGATTTAATGTATCTAAACCTGTTGAATTGAGTCAGAACTCTTTTTTGTAGATTTCCTATCTTCAGTTGGACATCCAGCACTTGCTAGCTAATAAACAAGAAAAGACATCTCATTAGGTAAGTCAGTGAAAAAGGCAATTAAAGTAAAAACCTTTGTGGTCATTTGTGTGGGTCATTGAGTCTCAAAAGGTTGGGAATGCCTTGTTCAGGCCATTAAGTCTAAAAAACAGAACATTAAAAACAAATCTGAGCATGACAGAACTATTGACCAGAGTTCATTAGGAACCTGAGGTGCAACAAAACCAAACTTTATATGGTTAAACTGTACAAGTAGACACCACTGGTCACCAAAGTAGGCAGAGGAAAGACGCTTGCAATAAAACACATAGAACACGTTTTAAGTTCAATAAATAGCTGCCATGTTATCTTAATATAACAAAGAAGTAAATAGTGTCACAAAACCAGTTTAGCTAGCATTAGTTAGCCAGTCAGCTAACGGCTGCTTCCTCAAGGTGGAGGTTGAGTTGTGAAAAGTGGAGATGTCTGCAAGGTTTGTGAGGTGTGTTTAGCAGCTGATAACGGCACTTTCTTTAGTTTAAGTGAAAACGAATGAAGATGACTGTTTGGATAAAGTGTGTTTCTCATGTATGCTGCTAACGTCCTCCTCTTTCTTTCTCCTGTAAACTTCACTTCTCTGAACTCATCAGTGCTGAAGTAAGTGTTTTTGGGAGCTGCACTGTTTTCATTGGCTTTCAGAACTAAATCGTTTAAATGTAACATCTAATAAGTTTATGAGTCGACACACTCATCATTTATTTTTACTCTGTCATGTTATTAAAAATGAAACAGCGAAGTAGAAGTGCTGTATTAATAAAATAAAAATAAAATTACCATGATTTAGATCTACTCCAAAACCATGTTGTAGGGAAATATGCACTCAAGTACTGTGAAAAGAGCAAATGCAATTCGTTCTATCTAAGTTCTGCTTTGAGTAGTTAAATAAAGGCTGTTGAGGTTGACGTTTGGTTTCATTTTCAGCCAGCGATCAGAATGGAGCCGCGAGCTGAGGCTTGACATGAGAAAACCGACCTGTAGTGTTTTACTGGGTAATAATAAAGCAAGCGATGGGTCACTGGTGTTGGAGTGAACAGTATATTAAGTCATGGGAACCTTGTGCTTTGGGCATAGGTGAGAAAACCAGCTCATTTACTCAAATTCATACTTGAAGATAGATAGATAGATAGAGAGAGAGAGAGAGAGAGAGAGAGAGAGAGAGAGAGAGAGAGAAATTGATACATTGGTACATACACTTTGGAGCTGTCCTCCTCTGAACGTGTTTGGAAACAACAACAACAACAACAACAACAATAATAATAATAATAATAATAATAATAATAATAATAATATAGCTGTGGGTCTAACTACCAGGTACCAACAGGCCAGCACCCAGAATCCTAGTGCTGCCTAATGCTAAAACCCTAATGCTGCTCAGTACCAACAGGTCAGTGCCCAGAACCCAAATGCTGCTGTCATGGAAATCCCCAAAGATTTGTCATGGAAATCCTGACAACAGAATGAATTACAAGTTTTGAATGAGTTATTTATTTAGGAAATGAAAGTGATGCAGACCAGAGAGTGAAAAGATGAGAGCGAAGAGATGAGAGCAAAGAAATGAGAGCGCGCTCTAAAGCAGTCTACCCTTACATAGGGGTTTTATACCCCAAACTGAGTGTTGGCTAGGTACCAAATAAGGGAAGGTTTGACAGCTGCTGTTACCAGTCTTCAGCAGATTTCTGTTAATATAGCCATATAAGGTTGTAAGTACATGCAGCATATTCTGATCGTGCATGTTGTACATGCATGACCAGAGATGCCCTGATTAGAATGTGTTAATAAAAGCAGAAGTATTAGGGAGGTGTAAGATAGACAACCGAGGTCAATTGCTTCATGAGGATACACCCAGAGCCTAAGTGCTGCTTAGTACCAACAGGTCAGTGCCCAGAACCTAAGTGCTGCTTAGTACCAACAGGTCAGTGCCCAGAACCCAAGTACTGCTTAGTACCAACAGGTCAGTGCCCAGAACCTAAGTGCTGCTTAGTACCAACAGGTCAGTACCCAGAACCTAAGTGCTGCTTAGTACCAACAGGTCAGTGCCCAGAACCCAAGTGCTGCTTAGTACCAACAGGTCAGTTCCCAGAACCCAAGTGCTGCTTAGTACCAACAGGTCAGTGCCTAGAACAGGTCTGAGGTGGGGTGGCAGAACTGTCATTTCTCTCTCTTGGCTCAGGTGCCTGTGTTGCCCCTATAATGAAAAACAACTGATACTGATTTGATAAGGAGCTCAGGCACCTTCAGAAAGAGATCAGAAAGAAGAGATCACACCTGGCCTGTCTGTGTCCTCTGTGGCACTGGGTGGCAGTTGGGAGCTGGATCCTAGTAGACTTGCATATTGCTTTTGTCGGAAGAAAACCTTGTCTCCATTTTTGACGTTTTTCAGTTTTTGACATAATTTGAAAATACCTGTTACTCTTTACATTGTATGTAAACATCATGATGAATGGACTAAAAGAAATGACCCAAAATCACTTGGAAAAGAGTCTGTTGACTTACATTAAAAGTAGTAATTTAAAGGTTTTGTTCCAACAACAGCGATATATAAAACTACTACAACTAGAAATCATCTAGTCTGACTCACTTATGTATTTATTTATAGAGTATTATTGGTTTTATATAATTCAAACCAGGTGCATAGCCAAGGGTAGACCAAGATTGACACATTTGTTCCCGACACGAAGGAAGCTTTGGAATAGACCTGTAATCAACAATGGCATTTTGTAGGAATTCCAGGTCTAAGCCAGAAAAATGAGTGACATTGTCAAATAATTATCCATGTAAGACCATGTTGGAAACAGCAAGGTTGCAGACGCAGCCTGTATCAACACTGAAGAACAGAAGTCATGATCTTTCATCTCTGCATGAGCTTCCTGTCAAACTGAGGCTGTTTATGACTGTGTCTCTCTGTTTACCTTCTTAGTTGTAGGCATAAAACTGAACCTCTGGTTTTATGCTTGAATCAGGTGATGGAGGACACATGAGAACTTTTTGCCGTATCATTAGCTTTAAATGTTTATACATGAGATGAAAGTAGGTTGTAGAAACACAGAGAAAGACAAAAAGACACATTAACACATTTATTAAGTGCTTATAGATAGATTATTTGACAGGAACTGGGAACTGAAGGGCAAACTCACATAGATCAGTTTAGATCCTCCAGACTCTTGCCCTTCCTTAAAATGTGTGTAAGGCCTGGTATCAGTACTTTAGTGCCCTTCAGGCCCCTCAGTGGTGGAACTCTGCACTGCACAGTCACTCAGTCTTTTTTATCAATAATATGACTTATTATGTGAAAATAAGCACATATCTTTTCAAATATAAGCAATTATTCACATTTTCAACATACTACATCAAAATCTTGAGAAAATAACTCAACCAGAATGAGAGAAGAATAAAAACTTTATTTTTGTCTACTGGCAGAAAAGGACTTTCATACAGCAAGTGAGCCAAACAGGTGATTACATTGTGCTGCTCTCATGTTAATTAGAAAGTATTCATTTGCCTGGAGGTAGACTGTCAGTAATTAGTGCCTCCTTTAGTAAATCTACCTTCAGATGTCTATTTATTATATATCAGTGTTTCCCAGCTCCACACATTTATTTACTGTATTTACCTGTACTGACCAGATTCAGCTCCAGATGGTCATCAACAGCTAATACTGAGCTCATATTCATCAGCACTGTGCAGAATTCAACTACATGACTGCTGCTGAATGTGTAAAACATGGAAGCAGGACATTTAATTACTAACAGAGGGTGCCACCTTCTCATAAACTAGTAAAGCTCACTGTATCAGGGAACAGTTTGCTCACAGTACAATTAATACTTACATATTTTATGATGATGATGATGATGACATTGAGGGCTGCTTCCAGGTCAGTGTCTAAGGGCATATTGCTGCTGTCCAAAGAAAAACAAGTATCTCCAAAAAAGTAACTTAACAGGAGAGGTAAAAAAAAAACAGTGTTTTACTGACTGTAATATGCTGCGGGATCTTAATGTGCGCACGTGTGCTGGTATGAGGTGTTGGACAATAAAATGAATCACAGCTGTTATAGAGTTAAATGCTTAGTTTTTTTTATTTTCGAGCAGTCCGAAATAAATCCGTGTGTAATTCAGGAATAATGGTAGAAAAAAAATGTTTGCATCAGTTGATAATTCTGATCAGACTCCTCCTCCATCCTTCTCCTCTCCAACCTGTAGAAAAACAACATATAATGGAACTAACTCACATAAACTGCTGCATCCTTAATGCTGTATTATACAAGCCCAATTCCAAAAAAGTTGGGAAGCTGTGTAAAATGTAAATAAATGTAAATAAAAACAGAATGCAGAAAAACATTAACTCATTTAGAACTTGATGGCGACAATGATCTCAAAAAAGTTAGGACAGGACAACAAAAGGCTGGAAAAGTAAGTGGTACTAATAAAAAAACAGCTGAAGGAGTAATTTGCAACTAACTCACATGACTGGGTATAAAAAGAGCATTTTAGAGAGGCAGAGTCTCTCAGAAGCAAAGATGGGCAGAGGTTCACCAATCTGTGAAAAACTGCATCTAAAAATTATGAAACAATTTCAGAAAAATGTTCCTCAATGTAAAATTGCAAAGACTTTGGATATCCCACCATGTACAGTGGATAATATCATCAAAAGATTTAGAGAATCTGGAGAAATCCCTGTACACAAGGGACAAGGCGGATGGTCAATATTGGATGCTTGTGATCTTCAGGCCCTCAGATGGCACTGCATTCAAAACAGGCTGTACTGGAAATCACTGCATGGGCTCAAGAACACTCCTAGAAATCATTGTCTGTGAACACAGTTGACCGTGCAATCCACAAACGCAAGTTAAAGCTGTATCAATAATAGAAGAAACCATATATAAACAGGATTCAGAAATGCCACCAACTTCTCTGGGCCCAAGCTCATTTAAGATGGACTGAGGCAAAGTGGAAAAGTGTCCTGTGGTCCAATGAATCAAAGTTTAAAATTCTTTTTGGAAATCATAGACACAGCATCCTCCATGCTAAAGACCAACCAGCTTGTTATTAGCACACAGTTCAAAAGCCAGCATGGGTAACTTGCACATCTGTGAAGGCACCATTAATGCTGAACGAAATATACAGGTTTTGGCAACATATGCTGCCATCCAGACATTGTCTTTTTCAAAGAAGGGCTTGCATATTTCAGCAAGACAATGCTAAACTACACTTGCATCCACCACAACAGCATGGCTTTGCAGAAGAAGAGTCCGAGTGCTGAACAGACCTGCCTGTAGTCCAGACCTTTCACCAATAGGAAACATTTGGCGCATCAATAAATGAAAAATCTGGCAAAGTACACCCAGGACTGTTGGGCAGCTAGAATCCTACATCAGAGATCAAGAATGGGACAACATTCCTCTCCCAAAACTCCAGCAATTGGTCTCCTCACTTCCCAGACGTTTATAGGCTGTTGTTAAAAGAAGAGGGGATGCTACACAATGGTAGACATGGCCCTGTCCCAACTGTTTTGAGATGCATTGCTTACCATCAAGTTCTAAATAAGTTAATATTTTTCATGAAATGGTAAAATGTCTCACTTTCAACATCTGATATGTTTATGTTCTATTGTGAATAAAATATGGGTCTATGAGATTTGCAAATCATCACATTCTGTTTTTATTTACATTTATTTACATTTTACACAGCGTCCCAACTTTTTTGGAATTGGGGTTGTAGTTAGAGACACAATATGCTCATTAATGTAGTTCAGTTCTAATTCTGGAGGTCTCTTCCCAGCTCCAGGAGATCCACTGATCTGAATTCAGTTTTAAATGTACCTGCACAGAACCTTTATTTCCAACAGTGTAGGGCCAACGCTTTATTATGCACAAGTCTTCAAGATTAGTAGTCAGGAGACCCAAACAGTGATGTTTGTTAGTAAATACTATATGTAATTGCATATAAACTGGTGAAATGAATTAGATTTAACTGTAGCTGAAACATTTTTGGGCAAATGTGCACAGGTCCAGTGACCCATTAAACACCACAAGCAACTGTTGACTGGTGATGTTTCCAATGGTCATTCACACTAAAGATTACTTGCACCCTATATCTGGTTAATAAAAGTCTTGTAGTGACCAAATAGAAGAGGAACTATTTGTGTTGTTTATGCTGTTGTTCGTCAGTTAAAAGTGTGTGATATGTGTTTATTGTGTTAGTCAGACGATATGGGTTGTTAGTGTGTTTTGTGTTGGGGTTTGGTCAACCATCAGGGTGAATCCTGTGGCTAGTGGTGATGTTCCCCACCAGGTCAGTGCTTTGTATGTGCCTTTCTGCCCTGGTGTTTAATAAAGAGCACTTATCGCGGTGGAATCATGGCCTCCCCTGTGTCTTACTCTATGCTGACGCTAGTCTTCATTCAAGTCTAAACCCATCAGTGTAGATCTGTGATTGGAACCCCTTTAATGAAGTTATACCTTTAAACCTCAGGGTAGGCGGCTGTTGTGGCAATACCACACTGGTTATTCTTGTTCCTGGACATCTTGATGTAACCGTGATCACCCCAGCCGACACCCCAGCTGCAAAACAAAATCATTGTCAGTGATGGTTAAATTACATTACCCTTCTGAGTCCCTGGCAGGAATGTGATCAGGGATTGTCTTTTTGATGTTTTGGCAGCTTGTTTGTTTACCTGTTCTTGACCAGCCAGTAGTCCTGTCCGTTATCATCAGTGCCGTAACCAACAACCAGGACAGCATGATAAGGGTAGTTAGTCCTGCAGGCTGGCTCATCATACACACCTGCAATCATTCAGGTTACCAGCTGCCAATTAGGATGGTCAATGATTAACCCATAACTAAAGTATCTGGTAAATAAAATAATAATGCAAGCTTAGAAATGAGACAACAGCAAACCCAGCCATCCTGAACAAGCAGGGATTTCACAGGGACTGTAATATTCAACCCAACTGACAGCAACCGTGTCAAATGGACTGTTTGCAGAATTCTGAGAGTCCTGCCTCCTTCAGTTACTGTGGCTATGTCTGTTAAACTTTCAGTACATGCTACCTGGTAGCATCCATAACATTTGTGCTAACAGAGGAAACAGTTCAGTAGCACAAAGGCACTATTAGAAGCACACAGAGGAGAACATCTAAAACGTCTCTCATTCAGACATAAACTGGCTTTACAAGATGTTCACTGCAGACATACATGATTGAGAACTGATCAAATGTGCATGCTTAGAATTCTAAAGTAAACAAATATGGATTCTTGACACCATGTTTACTTTAATCAGACCAGGGGAATCTTTTAGCAACTCAGGCTGATCTTCATGTCTAAAAAGGAGGAGGTTTTTGCAATGGAAGCTGCCCCTTCAGATGAGCTAATGCTAAATAGCTAGAGCAACATTACATTAGAGAGCTCATCGTCTTTTATGTGATGTATTTCTGTAAAATTGAATGAACTAATACAGAAAAAGGCATGTGTATAAGTGCAGTAATAGTTGGTAGTTTTTAATCCCAAATGTGAGCGCTCTACAGTCCTGTTTAATCTGGTAACTGTCACCAGCTAAGTTAAGTAAAGCTAACTAGTTAGCTAACAGATCTTAACATTGTTCTGTAACCATAGAGCCAGTAACAGTGTGCCTGTTAATAGTTTTGACACTGAGCTGTGCGTTTAGTCTTCCACAGAGATTAATTCAAAGCACTGGTTTCTCAGGGTTACCTGACTCATAGAGCTGGTAGCTGCGATGGTTGGCATCGACGATTACAGAAATAGGCCCGATTGTGGCCACAGCGTACTGCAGATCACCTTCTGTGGGCTTCACCATTTTATAGCCAGAGCAGGTAGCCCAAGAATTCTGGTTGTTAAACTTGCATTCCCCTTCCTGAGGAGAGATGAGTACAATCAGGATGGGTTGCTAACCCTCTGCTTCAAAGTTCACAGGGATATTTTCAAAATTCTAATTTCCAGACTTTTCCCCTCACCCCAAAGGTAGATGAACAGTGCCAAAAAAAAAAAGGTTTTCCACTGGAGCAATAAGGCTACCAGCTAAGACCCCACACATTAGCACTGTACAAACTGCATGCCCAACTCATCAAACACCTGTTTGACATAATGACATATTTATAAAAATGGAAAAAATGTATTGACAAAATTCATGCTTTAACATGGGAGTGCAGTTAGCACCATGCTAATTGGCCTACAGTTGCTTACTTTACTTGTTAGCTTCATTAGCATTGTAGCTCTAATGTAAAACTATACAAGCAAACTTATGAGACCAAACGAAGCTGATCTCAGAAGCTCCACTCAGCACTAGTTTGACCTCACCATGGCATCATTAACTACTGTAGCCTCACCTTGGCCTGGTATGGATAAGTGTACACTGTCTCCAGGCCTCCACTGGACTTGATGTACTTGAAGGCATTATGAGGCCAACCACCTTGACAGCCAAAGTTTTCATAACCCCGGGAGCAGTCCACCAGCTGTTGTGCGCTCAATTCTACCAGCATCTTTGTCTTCTTGAACATCTGACCCTCTAGCGCCCCTGCCTGAGAGAAGAAAATTAGAAAAAATAAAAGGAAAATAGGGTGAACCAATAGAAATGGGTTTGTTTTCTTCCTTAAATGAGGATCTCTTTAGAGTTCCAATCTTCCACAGCACCCCTATTCATACTTTTACCTGTGTTTATTCACAAGCTGATGACATGAATATTTCTCATATCATAAACTTATTTGTTTCTATAGCAAATATTTAGGCAAGTTCCTCCATTCTAATGATGCACACTAAAGCTATCTGTGCACTAACAGCTCTCCCTTGTTGAGAACCTTCAGACTGCTGCACTTTAAGTGTGAGTGTGAATGACAAACCAGTTTCATACAAAGAAACACATGATGAAACATGACAAAAACACATTACAGCACATATTATCAGCATCACATCAATCAAGAGATAAACAGCACAGATCAATCTGAACCCCATCACAACCAGCCTGTTCAACAACACAATCAGCCCAGTGTTCAACTAATAACATTAAATATGACATCCAAAAATAAGATGTCTTCTTTCTATCTTATGCATGTCTATAACTTTTTCTCTAATGTTCTTAGTCTTTATTTTCTCAGCTTTCCTTCAGATTCACAGTCTGATCAAAAATACTTGAATTAACAGGGTTTTTATCCAGTAAAGGTGAACTTTTTTTTTAATAATTCACAAGTAGAGGCCAATTGTAAGCCAACTGTGTCATTGTTAGGGTAACGTCATTCATCTGTGTGAACTTGGAGCTTTCATAATACAGGGGTTGAATACTTATGCAAACAGCATTTTTTCAGTTAATCACTTTTGTCACAATATTTTCTTCAGAAAACTTGAATGTTTTAGTTCTTGATATGTCTATGCTGATACTGTATTTAAGTTATTATAGATGGCTGTATATTTTATCATGGGCAATAACACAAAATCAATACTCAGAGACAACTAATCAACTTCATATGGATCAACACCTCCGATCAAACTGACATTTTCTTGGTATCGTGATTTGGAAGTAAAAGCATCTATATCTTTCTTCTGACTTCATCTTTCCTTTTCTCACTGCCTTCAAGTTAGTAGCGGGCAGCATAAAAGTTCCTTAGGTAAGATTTACACTAGTACAACATAAATAAGTGCAGATAACTCAGTGCAAACCATGTTAACGTTACCCCATTTAGCTGAGTGTCTGAGTCAGGAATATTTCAGTCATGTTTGAAATGAAAATGATACTGCTGCAGATCCTTGATCACCTACTGCTGTCTAAATCAGTGCAGTCTGAGACAGAAAACTTTGCTTTTGAGGCAGCAGACATAAAGAAACAGCCAGTCTTTTGGGGTTAGTATTAGTCAAACATGGACACAAAAGTGACTGCAACCCTTCTGTTTCCTCTTAAGCTGCTTCTGGTGCCTGAACAGGTGACAAAATGTGACTGTTGCTCCATGTGGGCTGAAAATTTCAAACTTTAAGCTGCTGAAAAGGAAGCCAACTCAAGCTAAATTAAGACGTGAAACAAGATTTAGCACCATTTATGCCGAGCCTGCAGGGCTATGTTCAGAAACCAATACTGCCAGGTTTATCTACATATTCTACAGTTTTGATTTTACTGTTTTGCACAATAAAATATTTCAGATATAATTTGGCTGTTAAAAATGTTTTGTATTAAAAATGAAGATACATCCCAGAATAATAAACCGCTGTTAACCCTAAACATCTAATATTTGTTTAATCATCTAAATTATATTCTGATATATTTCTAAACCATCAGAAATTGTAATTAAACCGTGACTTAAATTTAAGGCCACAATGCCCAATACTGTTACTAATTATCCCTCCATCTGGTTCTCCCTCTTTACCTGTCCTGCTGTGACTCACCGCACTGAAGGCCCAGCAGGAGTGACAATGACTTTGGTCCTTAACCTCAGTCACGTAGCCCTCAATCCTCCAGTCCACAGAGCTGGGCAGAGCAGCGCCCTCTACCGGTTGGAAGAATGAAGTGGCGCTGTGGGTTCTAGTCCAGTTGAAGGATCCCAGACAGCCCTTTGACATCTGCTGGTACTCCTGATAGTCCTGTTGGAGAAGAAGATGGACTTTTAATGGTCTACTTTCCAGATGTCAAATACAATTACTGAACACATGAACACATAATAAACAGAGCTGAAGGAAAGATTCAGTGAATTGTGTAATGAAATGTCTATGTGAGATCTCACCATGTCTGCAAAGTGGTTCATGCTGAGTCTGTAGCTTTTGATGCCCTGGTCAGCCAGCATGTTGTGCTCCAGAACCAGTTTAAGATTGTCCAGCCAGATCATTTTATGCCGGGACTCTTCGTCCAATGAACTGTAGCTCTTACCTGAGAGGAAATGTATGTTTATGTATATGTGTATGTATGTGTTTCCTCTGAGGCAAACGCTGCATGTTCCAACCAATGTATGTATATATTACTTATATTATATATACAGTCATTGATAAAAAACGCCTGTTGTAAAAGCTATTTAAATAAACTTTGACTTGACTATTTAACATATATATTATATACATATCAATGACTGTATATGTCATATATATCATAAATACAGTCAATGAGTGTATATTACGTATATCATATGTACAGTCAATGAGCGTGTATATCATATATGTCACATATAGAGTCAAGTGCATATCATATACATATATATATATATATATATATATATATATATATATATATATATATGTAATATACATTCAGTGGTTCAGCTCCATTCAGTGGTTCAATGAATCTCTCATTTATACAACTTGTAGGTTGTTGTTACAGTGGAGGATCTTGAGGGGAACTGGAGCTCCACCAGCTGCTGCTTTTGTTAGTTTGCTGCTGGTTGATTTATCCCTAGTTCCCCTGCGAGTGTCTGTCCAGTACAGTCTGCTGAATTACATTGCGCATCAGCACTGTGTATAGCTTACTAAAGACTTTAGTGTGCTTCAGTGATAAACAAATTCACTGAACAGCAGTAGCTGGAAATAACTTTGGTTTTATCAGGAGTGCCATCAGTGGAACTTGCCCCTTAAAAGCTGTATTTGAATGAGAGGACTACAATCACAGAAACAGCACAAACAGCTGGACTTCAGGGCAAATGAAACAAACATGCTGAACTTTTAATGGCAGTAAGTGGAGAAGTGATTTATTCCAAGCAATTTTGGACTACTTCTATTGGTCCATTCATTAATTTTTGACACAATGTAAAGGGCATCTGGCCATTTATCATTATGTCAAAAAATATATATAGTTATATTAATATAAATATTTCTTAAACCATTCAAAACCATTTTTTGTGCATGAAAAAAACAGCATAACATTAGTATAAATACATATAAGCTTATGAATAGGGTCAAAAGTAAAAATAATTTCATATTTTGAAAATAGTGGTTGATATCTTGTGTAAGTTATGTTGGTTCTAGATTAACATTCCAGCATACAGCAAACATTAAAATTTATCCTGATGCCTCTATCCATTTTCTGATTTCCTGATTGAGTTGTTGATTGGAGGTGGAGAATTTCTCATAAAGGAGCAGATCTGATGTAAATTTCTCACCAAACTTCAGTTTCCAGGTGTTGAACTCCAGATCCTCCAGAGAGACACTGGCAGCACCAGCCACAACCACAAGAGCGGCGACAGCGAGTAAAACCCTCATTCTGTAAAGAACAGATTGAACGAAATTAAATCAATCTAGTGCGAAATACAGGGGGACCTGGGGGCCCCAGGATCCCCTAATTAATCTCTTGGACCCCCTGAATGTCTCAAAATCCAAATTCTGGGGGGTGCCTGAAAATAAACTCTAAAATATCTCGGTAAATCTTTACAACATGCCATATCATATCTGTAAATCTGAAAACTTGCAAAGTTTGCAAGAGTTTGGAGTAAAGAGTAACTGTTTCTCATTTCTCACACTGAAGACAGAAGAGGAGATGAGTAGGATCTCAGTTAATGTGAGACAGAGCGCAGAACCACACCAGAACAGAGACTTTACAGAAGAACAATTGTCAGCGCTGCAGTAGCAAACAAGACCGCCCAAATACCAGGGAGTATTTCAAACACTGATAACAGGCCTTAATAAACAGCAACCTGATCATTATCTAATAGTCTGTTAATGACTGTAATGATTGTATGTACAGAATTACACATCTGTCCAGAGAAAAATTTCTCCATTGTTTTTGTGATTTTTACTTTTTACTTACATTTGAGCTCAGCAGCTGTTCTTTTACATTATGTGATAATTTCATGATGATTGGACCAATAGACATACTTTGAAATTGCTTAGAATAAAATCTCTTTCCATTAGCTCACACTGAAAGTGAACATTTTTGCTCCCTCCTGTGAAAACGATATGTTGGAGATACTTGTTTTTTCTTTGGAAAGCAACAACTGATTTTTAACTGCTATATATATAAATATATATATATATATATATATATATATATATATATATATATATATATATATATATATATATGTAGATGGGGACATATAGAGACATTATATAATCATTAATAATGACAATGTCACTACTCTTGAACTGAAACTCAGTGGCATCCTAATCTGCTGATTCTTTCAGTTTCAACTGTACATTTAACTTTTTCACCTCTTTTTGTTGCATCAGTGTTTGTATTCAGTGTAAATGTATGAACGCGTGTTTCAGCTCTTACCTGAGCGTGATGTTCTGCAGTCTCACCATGATCTGCTGGAGTGTGTGCCCTACTGGCTCTGGTTTTATTCTGATTTTATCTGATTTTATCTGTGACTTTGCTGAGCTAAAGATGCCAGTAAACACGCTCTGCTGACCACAAACTTCAAGCGTCTATACCCTACAAGATGAGAGTGATATGACTTAATCATATCACTCACTGTGGAACCCTCAAGTTCTTCTAAGTCTTCAGAGAAGGCCTGACGATTTCTATGAAGTATAAAAATGCATGTCTGTTGCATTCAAACTCTGGAAGTATTGTAGAAATACCTTCATTTTATTGTTCGGTTTTGGTTGGAAACAAAAGGGTTAAAATGTTGAAATGTCCACATAATTATATGCATTTAAGACTGCTTTCTACAGTCTCAGAAATAAAGGTAGTAAATTGTCACAGGGGCAGTGCCCCTCTTGTCACTGGGGTGGGACCCTCAAAGGTACGTCTCAGTACCTTTAGTCAGGGAACATAATTGTATCATAACTCATTGAAATTATATTTTCTAAGTTGTCTTGACTCCACACACCCCGTCTTGTCTCCAGGCTTTTTATTTTATTGTTCTGTTTTAAAACATTTGGTCATGAAAAGGTACAAATACGTATGTTTCACCTGGAAAAACTGGACCTTAAAACCACTGTTGTACCTTTAAGGAACAATTACATTGTTTGTACCTTGATGAATGAAAAACGTACCTGAACAGAACCATTATTTCTAATAGTGTAGGTAGATACAGCCAAGAGAACTCTCCCATTGGTTAGGACTTCAGGAACTGGACTGAAGGCCTTGCATGTTAGATTTACTATCAACATAATTAGGAAAACACAGAGAAACCAACTCTGATTTACAATGGGACCAACTTTTAAAACGTCTTCTGGAAGTTCTACTCATTGTGAATGGAAGCCGTAGTCTAACCAGGTTTCAATCAGATGTTGGAAAAATGGCCAAAATATGTTCCTGTGAATAATTTAGCACTAACATAGTACTAGAATGCTAGCATTTATATTTAAACCTGGTTATTCTTTGTCAACTTGAATTTTCCTTTTGCAGATTGCTGAGTATGTATGAATATCTGACCTGCTAATTAGCTTTATTTGGCTTTGCTTTGGTGCTGCTCTGCTGCATCTCTCTGCAGTACTGATACCATCAAGCACACTCAACACAAACTTACCTGGCACTCTTATCTAATCATCTTAAAAATGCACCAGACTATTACAAAGAAAATACGAGAATAGATATGCAGTATGCAGATGTACAGATATAATATGCAACGTGAAGTGCAGTTTTCAAATAAATGCAAAGGCAAGTGCTGAACAGATTCAAACTGCATAAAAATAAAGGGCAGATAAGCTCATAAGTGCCATGAAAACCAAAATGTCACCATGAATATTTCACACTTTCCAGGGCGACTCGCAGCGTCGTCTGAGTTAAAGTCATAATGATCTATCTTACACTTACTAAACCTTACCTTAATAAGTAAGTCCATAAAATTTAATCCAACTTCAGTAGGATAAACTATTATGCTGGCTAGAGAGCATTCTTTTTCTACATACTACAGACTAACCAAGTGTTTTAAATAGTTTTGCTTCAGCCTCGAACCCTAGAGACTCAAGTCTGACTGACATTTCAAAGACTCAATTCTGACTCGCGCCCCAGCTATTGCTTTAAGCTGTAGCTCAGCAATCACTGCTTTTCTCACATCTCCGGCAGGAAACGTTTTTCCAAAAGTAAAATAATTTCTTGTAAAATGTCTTGCAATGTTCAACTTTTTACAAGGCTGTAGTCAGCTTTACACTGACTCACACTCCAGAGACTCAACACTGACTCACACCCCAGAGACTCAACTCTGATTCACACCTCAGAGGTTTGATTCTGACTCGGACCCCAAAAACTTGACTTGGGCTCACTTCCCAGAGATTCAAATCTGACTCATACCCCAGAGACTCGACTCTGACTTACACCTCAGAGACTCAAATCTGAATCACACCTCAGAGGCTCAACACTGACTCACACTTCAGAGGCTCGACTTTGGCTCGCACCCCATAGATGTGAGATTTGATTCAGACACACACCGCAGAATCTCGAGGCCTTTGGAGAGACCTATTCTGTGTAGCTGCGGAATCTGGAGCTGCATTCAAAGGAAGTGTCAACAACACATTTTTAAAATTCTAATGGATATTTCTGCCTGGTTTTGAAAGGAGGCAGAAAATTCTTCTATATGCTTTTGGTAATCTTTATTAAAGTGAGTGGAATATATAATCGGCTGCATTTCTGATATCTCCACCCACTTTTGTGCAGTCCTCCCTCGTTTTGCACAGCCATCTCTCAAATGTCTATGTACACTGGATCCTCGCTGGTTCCAGACTTCTTTTATTTAAGAAAGATGGAAGCCACTGTGATCTATCTCAGAGTTCCATAGATGGTTCCTTGGAAACATCTCAAGGATGATTAGTGAGAACGGGTTGCCCCTAAGTTCAATTTTAAGTGTAACAGCAAAGGGTCATGGGAACATAAATGTCTGCCTGATTATCTGCCTTTATCTGTCTCTTTGTGGTTTTGTCTGAAACTGTGCTGCTTATCTCTGTGATATGGATGCTGGTAAACATGCTGTGCTCTCCACAAACATAACAGACATTCATATAAACCATCTGATAAAATAAGCAAACACTGGGTGCCATAACAATACAAAAAGCCTACGCTGCAAGGGTCTATGACCTAAAGAGGAGTGTGAAATGATGGCTTTATACACTATGTATCTATTTATCTACCAAAGATGTAATTCGTAAGGTAAAACTGCAGTGTTTCATGAGCAAACAATAAATATTAAGGGCTGAAACTGCATAAAAATAAAGTGCAGAAAAGCTCAGAAACAACAAAAAGCAATGAGCATTATGATGCTCTTGAAAAGCTGGTCTCAGATCAGGTCAGAAAAACTGTGAATCAATCAACGGATTTGTATTATTTTGATCAACAGGAGCATCCACAATGTAGACTGAAGTATTGTATACAAGAAACAATTATTTTTTGATGTTTTAATCAAAGTTTTAAGTTTTTTTGAGAACAACTCATTTTTGATGAACAGGGACTCCCCTGGTGGAAAGTCTGACTATCTACGAGGTGACCTAGATATTGACCTATTTCCACTATATATATATATATATATATATATATATATATATATATATATATATATATATATATATATATATATATATATATTGTGTGAGGTTTACCTTGTAGTTAATCATCTATTTTTAATAATTTCTTCCTAAGTGACCAGTTTTAAGATTTTTTGCCTCAAGACTTCTGAAATATGATGCCTTCTGTATATTTTATTTCAGCATCATTGTTATATCTTTTACAAAAAAAAGGATTTTAAATCTGTTCAGACAACATAATGTTTGAAAAATTATATCTAATTAAAAGAAAACATCTGAAATGTAACTAAATATAATATTTCAGAGTATGGGAATGTTGTAAAAATGTTAAAATATATTTTTAAATTTATTTTTATACAGTTTCACTTGTTTTAAGTCATTTTATCTGGTGTCTCAAGTTTCTTATTCCATTGGCAGATGATTATTAGTGATAAAAACAAACATATTGCATTGTGAACACTGCTAGCACAATAAATATCCTAATATAATATATATATATATATATATATATATATATATATATATATATATATATCTATAACAAATTGTTAAATAATCTAAATGCAGTAAGTCTAAATGCAGTTTATGGAAGAATGGAGGGAAATGAAAAATGAAATAGGTCTCTGAGTACTGCGGTGGGCACCTATTTGTCAGTGTGGTTTGCTGACTGTGTAAAAGTAGGTCACATGTCTACACCAGAACTGAAGTTTCTACAGTCCTGTTCTTCCCTCTGTGTGATCTTTTAGTCTGAAATAAACACTATAGCTCCAAAGAGGCCTGAACAACAGTAAAGAAGAACAGGAGCTGAACTACAAGAATGAAATTAAACTTCAAATAGGAACTGAGGAAAAAAGTCGAGGGGAGTCCCCTGGTGGAAAGTCTGACTATGAGGTGACCTGCACTGTTAGAAATAAAGGTTCTGTGCAGGTACACATTTCATTCATTAAGGTACAAACAATGTAAATGTGCAGTCAGTACTTAGAAAATAGCATTTCAATAGATTATGGTACAGTTATGTTCCCTGACTAAAGGTACTGAGATGTACCCTTGAGGGTTCCACCCCAGTGACAAGAGGGGGGCTGTCCCAGTGACAGTTTTGCACTTTTTTTCTAAGAGTGTGTGTATTAATAAAAGCTATTCTTACAGCATATTTTTACTCCTGTAGTTTTCTCATAAGGATTTCTAGGCAGGAGTCTTTTAATTTTACACCGATCAGGCATAACATTATGACCACCTCCTTGTTTCTACGCTCATTGTCCATTTTATCAGCTCCACTTACTATATAGGTGCCCTTTGTAGTTCTACAATTACAGACTGTAGTCCATCTGTTTCTCTGCATACTTCGTTAGCCCCCCTTTACCATGTTCTATAGTGGTCAGGACCCCCATGGACCCTCACAGAGCAGGTACTATTTGGGTGGTGGATCATGCTCAGCACTGCAGTAACACTGACGTGGTGGTGGTGTGTTAGTGTGTGTTCCGCTGGTCTGAGTGTATTAGACACAGCAGTGCTGCTGGACTTTTTAAACACATCAGTGTCCCTGCTGGACTGAGAATAGTCCACCAACCAAAAATATCCAGCCAAAAGCGTCCTGTGGGCAGCGTCCTGTGACTACAGATGAAGGACTAGAGGACGACCAACACAAACTGTTCAGCAGCAGATGAGCTATCGTCTCTGACTTTACATCTACAAGGTGGACTGACAAGGTACGATTGTCTAATAGAGTGGACAGTGAGTGGACACAGTGTTTAAAAACTCCAGCAGCACTGCTGTGTCTGATCCACTCAGACCAGCGCAACACACACTAACACACCACCACCACATCAGTGCTGAGAATGATCCACCAC